ATAGTTCCAGCATTAAATAAGACATAGAGTGTAACATGGCACCCCAACAACAACAAAAACAACAACAACAATTACAACAACAACAAACCCGCCTCAAAACAACTTTTGTGTACAAAACAATTTGTTGAATCTTTTCTTTTTCATTGTAAAATATCAAGAAAAACGACACCCAAAAACATACACACACACACGTGGAAAGCCTCAACCTCACACACACACGTGTACAGCCTCAACTTCACACACACACATACATGTACACATGTACACAGCCTCACAGCCTCACACACACACAAACACAAACACATGTACACACACAAACAAATATACACACACACACACGTGTACAGCCTCAACTTCACACACACACACATGTACAACCTCAGCCTCACACACACACATACATGTACAACCTCAGCCTCACACACACACACGTGGAAAGCCTCAACCCCACACACACACATGTACAGCCTTAAATATACACACACACACACATGTACAGCCTCAGCCTCACACACACGCACACACATACACTCTCTGCGCAGCCTGTCGTAAACTCTGCTTAAACTTGTATTGCATACTTTTAGGGCGCCACCATAAAAACGGACGAGGAGACGGGCAAAATAATCATAGCACGAATCATGCACGGCGGCGCCGCGGATCGCTCGGGCCTGATACACGTCGGCGACGAGGTGATCGAGGTGAACAGCATCAATGTGGAGGGCAAGACGCCGGGCGATGTACTCACCATACTGGTAATTATATTTATTTTGTGTGCCCCAATCATGTCCAAGACTCAGTCTGACAGCCAATTTCATGGGCACAGCAAAATTCGGAGGGCACCATTACCTTTAAGCTGGTGCCCGCGGACACGAAAGGCGCCCAGCGCGAGTCCAAGGTGCGTGTGCGCGCGCATTTCGACTACAATCCGGATGTGGATCCGTATATACCCTGCAAGGAGGCGGGCCTGGCATTTCAGCGCGGCGATGTGCTGCACATTGTCGCCCAGGATGATGCCTATTGGTGGCAGGCGCGCAAGGATCACGAGCGTTCCGCACGCGCCGGCCTTATACCAAGCCGGGCTCTGCAGGAGCGTCGCATCCTACACGAGCGTACGCAACGCGAATGCAACGACATGGACTCCAAGCGTAAGTGTATACAACTATCGAATCATCGAATCATAATTATCGAATCAGTGCGCATGTGTGGCAGAACTCATCGAATCATATATTCGCCAAAAAAAACCTACTCGAAGTATTTTTCCCAGTTTACAATTTACCCCAAATGGTGACATGAGAAATTTAAAATACAAAATTAAAAAAAAAAAAAACTAGAGTAGCAGAAAAATATCCGAGTCATCGAATCATTCATTCGCATATTGAGCCTAGGAAACCTGCTTGTAATCCTTTTCCCAATTTAAATTTGAAAATATCTTAAATGAAAATAGAGGTGTTCCCCAAAATTGTGACGCAATACATAGAAGTTAAATGATTATTTAAAAAAATTGGGTTCTTATAAAAAGAATTTGTCGAATCATTCATAATTTCCGAGTCATCGAATCATTCACTCACAAATAGAGCCTAGGAAACATACTCGAAATCCTTTCCCCAATTTAAATTCGAAAATACCATTATATTGAATAGAGGTATTCCCTAAAATTGAGACGCGAGAAATTTAAGATTAAAGATTATTAAAAAAAAAACCAAGAGTACTTAAGGAAACCTACTCGGAATCCTTTTCCCAGTTTCAATTTGAAAATATCATACAAATAAATAGAGGTATTCCCCAAAATTGAGACGCGAGAAATAGAAGATAAAATACTAATTAAAAAACTAGATAACTAAAGAGAGGAAGTTGTTGGGCTGCACCTGCACCTATTTGTGGTTAAGTACAGTAAATATAACGTCAAGATGTGAAATCCGTGTAGCTCGCACAATTGCAGGAATACCTCTATTAATGCGGAACAAACAGCCTTTGATTAAACTGCCCTCGCATGTGACTCATTCGTTTCATTCTAATCATTTGCTCACTCATCAAAACCAATCATCGCTCCACATCGACCTCGACCTCCGCCTCCGTTGCTTCTCGATTCCCACCTGGTCGTAGCCGGTTCATGCGCCTCGCTCTGCACAACGCCGCCCGGTTCGCCCCGGCTGCAGACGAGCAGCAGCAGCAGCTCGTGCCGCCAGCCAAAGACTAAAAAGATCATGTACGATTTGACAGAGAATGATGACTTTGATCGGGAACTGATTGCCACATACGAGGAGGTGGCCAAGCTGTATCCCAGGCCGGGCATCTATCGACCGGTTGTGCTGATCGGAGCGCCCGGCGTCGGACGCAACGAGCTGCGCCGCCGGCTGATAGCGCGCGATCCGGAAAAGTTTCGCAGTCCGGTGCCATGTGAGTTGACTCCAGCTTTGCTCCAAGATCTAAATAATCCATATTCCAATGCCTTGCAGATACCACAAGACCCATGCGCACGGGCGAGGTGCCCGGCCGTGAATACATTTTTGTGGCACGCGACAAAATGGACGCGGACATCGAGGCCGGCAAATTTGTGGAGCACGGCGAGTACAAGGGCCATCTGTACGGCACCTCCGCAGAGAGCGTCAAGTCGATTGTGAATGCGGGCTGTGTCTGTGTGCTGAGTCCGCATTATCAGGCGATCAAGACGCTGCGCACGGCACAGCTGAAGCCATTCCTCATACACATCAAGCCGCCGGAGCTGGCCGTGCTGAAGGCGACGCGAACAGAGGCGCGCGCCAAGTCCACCTTCGACGAGGCCAATGCGCGCAGCTTTACAGACGAGGAATTCGAGGATATGGTCAAATCGGCGGAACGCATCGACTTCATCTATGGCCACTTTTTCGATGTCGAGATCGTTAACGGGGAGCTGGTGAATGCCTTCGAGCAACTGGTCCAGCATGTCCAGCGGCTGGAGAACGAGCCCCTTTGGGCGCCCTCCATGTGGGTGCAGTAAATTTTTAGCACCGCCCCCCCCCCTGCCATGCCACGCCCCCTCGCAATTTGTTGAACCAACACCAAAGTATTTGCCATACGAATTTAGCCAACTAATTTTCTTGTTGTTCTTGGCCCAGAGACAACATTAAACACAAAAACTGTACAGTTGATTGCCAATGTTGCACGGCATTTAGTTAGAAAGAGAGAGAGACACGCGCGAAAGAGAGAGAGAGATATACACGTATATATATATATATGTATAAAGAAAGAGAGAGAAATACTATTTACCCCTAGGCGGTCCTGCCGGACGCTCCTGTCCAGCGTTAGTCCTTTTCACGACATGTACCTTTTTTGCGTAAAAGTGAAAACAATGAAAAGAATACAATAAAAATCAAATACGAAAAGCAAAGCAAGTAAAAATTATGAAAACTAATTAAACAACAATTTAACCAAATTTAAGCGAAATTATTGCAAAAACAAAACAAAACTAAAAACTCTGTTGTACAACAATTATTTAACTCAAATAACGATTGTCCAAAACCAAATCCATATATTAAAGATTTAAAATGTTTAAATTTTATAAACAAACCAAGAGAAAATTATAAATGTGTTACAAATTCCAGCAATTCGACTTTTATGTGTATTATTATACAGAATTTAAGGCATTCATATCAGTTTACAGCGAGGATTCGAACCAGCAACTTTACTTCTTTGTTTCTATCTATCTCTATCTTTAGTGGAATTTTGAATTGTTAAGAAATGAATTGGATTCGAACCAGCAACTTTTGTTTATATCTATCTCTATCTTTAGTAGAATTATCTATTGTTAAGAAATGAATTGGATTCGAACCAGCAACTTTACTTTTTTGTTTCTATCTATCTCTATCTTTAGTAGAATTATCTATTGTTAAGAAATGAATTGGATTCCAACCAGCAACTTTACCTTTTTGTTTCTATCTATCTCTATCTTTAGTAGAATATTCTATCGTTAAGAAATGTATTGGATTCGAACCAGCTACTTTACCTTTTTGTTTCTTTCTATCTCTATCTTTAGTAGAATTTTGAATTGTGAAGAGCTTTTGTCAGCTTGAAAACCTGTGATATTCGCAAAAGCGATTCCATATGCGCCACATTTGTATGTGCATAAGTAATTATGATCTCACAAAATAATATTTGCATTTGAGAGAACTCTGTTGATAAGCCAGAGCATGTTTATGGAAAAAATAACAAACTAGACCAAAATAGTTGGAGGAGGCAATTCTATATATCTCTAAATATGTATATCAAAATAAATTATCCAATTATATGCTTAACAAGTATCAGAGGGTAAGTACATCATAATCATATCAAGTTTTTTTCTAGATAAATTCTTTAATATGCGCTCTCTTGCTAACAAATGTATCTATGAGATTCTTAGGGCCAGCTACTTTGACAAAAAAAAAATACTCTTCTTCTGGCCCCCATGAACTGCTCCCGTAATTTAGAAATTAAAGACTTGGAATATATATTCGAATATATTGGGAAAGCTTCTTATTATGGGAAACGATTTCTAAAAGAGCCTACGCAGAGATTAACCCTTCACTGGCCACCAGGCCCGTGCCGAACACCCAAGTTTATAGCTATACTTTTTTGTCTTTTAGCTATAAAACGGCCAAACAGCAGCGCCTTTTGGCATCGCATACGTTCTGCTCGGCAGCTGCGTCATTGCCAATTGAGATAAGGTCAAACGGCGCGAGCGACAGCCAAGAGCAGAGAGCAAAGAGAAAAGCGAAGAGCGAAGAGAGAGTGGAGAGTAAAGAGTGGAGAGTGAAGAGTGGAGAGGGGAGCGTGAAGAGGGAAGTAACAGCAACGGAGTGGTTGCGAATGCAGCGTGCACAGAGCGAAGAGAGAGCGGAGAGCGGAGAGTGTAGAGCGGAGAGTGTAGAGCGGAGAGTGTAGAGCGGAGAGTGTAGAGCGGAGACTGAAGAGCGGATGATTGCGAATGCGGCATATGCCGCGATCATTTGCCGTGCACATTCCGCATCGTGCGCCAATCGCGAGTGGTTGTTGCCCGGAGACGAGCGCTTGTCTAGTGAAACCAGCCACTGCCCCCGCACCCCCCACCCACCCTTCTTCTGAATATACGTCAATTGAATTGTCGCCGGAAAATATGTCGAAATTTGAACTGAAAAATCTGGATGAATGCCTGGAGAAGCATTTGCCAGCGGAGGAGCTAAGAGAGGTCAAGCGCATACTTTATGGCGTGGAGCAAGAGTAAGTATATGTACACGCACACACACACATGGAAACTCTATGCTAATCAGAGCTTAACTGCCTGATAAGCAATACAATGTAGTTTAACAGCTGCACAGATAAGCCGAAATGTATGTCCATTATTTGGAGAGTATCTAATAAAATTTGTGGTAATAACATGTGTTAAATTCACGCCCTATCAAAAAATAAATAAACACATTAAATGTATATTTAGAAAATATATATATGCAGAGAAAGAATTCTCAGTTTGAGGGGGATTGGCATGTTTTACTTGTGCTCCGAAATGTTTATATTATTTTGCGCTAAAAGAAATGTCTTCTTTATATGTAAATCATGCATTATTTAAAAAGTTTATAAAGCCAATTAATTTCTCTAGACTATACTATACATTCAAATCGAATATATTCCAAGTTTACAGACAGAGAATGGGAGTTCCAAAATATAGATTGAGACAGACTAAGACAGATTGACAAACTATATCAGCTATATGGACAGCACTTTTGATCAAGTATATATATATTATGTTTTATACAGAAGCTATGACGAATCAGCATAACACTTCGAAAGTGTATCAAAAGTAGTTGGCATCAAAATCGACAAGAAAAACAAAAACAGATACGAATTATTTACGTATCAAGTGGAATGCAAGCAAAGTAAACTGTCGCGCTTCCGCTGACTCGCTCTTTCACCTTCTGCTCCACTCCTCACTCCATTCTCTCTTTTCATTCCCTTAGCCAAACTCTGGAGCTGCCAGCGAGCGCCACACTCACCGCCGAGCAGAATGGCTTTGAGATCAAGGGCTATCGCTTTGGGGCACGCGAGGAGCAGCTGCGTAAGCCGCGCCTGGTGCGTGTGGGCGCCATTCAAAACTCCATTGCGCTGCCAACGACGGCGCCCATTGAGCAGCAGCGCGAGGGCATTTGGAACAAGGTGAAGCTGATGATCAAGGCCGCGGCACAGGCCGGCTGCAACATCGTGTGCACCCAGGAGGCATGGAGTGAGTACATCCCAACCAGAACCCTGCATCGGTTATTAGCATCACACTCAGATATTCAATCGAGCAACGCAATGTTCGAGTGAACAAGAAGATAAGTTCGAGCTGTTCGAGTCAGCAACATGTTTGAGCTCGACCTGAGCGAGGCAGCAACATGTTCGAGCTGAAAATTTGACTCTCGACTCGGTCGAACGAATGATTGTTCTAGTTTCGGATACGGATACACGTTTCTATTGACTCGATGCTGGGTTTTCAATTCTAGCTTTATAAACATAGACAACAGTTGCTTTTGGTTATGGTTGAAGTTCGACGTCGAGTCAGCAACATGTTTGACGTCGAGTCAGCAACATGTTCGAGCTATAAATTTGAGTGTCTCGTTCGAACGAAATAATTGTTCAAGTATCCGAAACATTTTTCAATTGACTCGATGCAGGGCTCAGACTATATAAACATGAATACAAGTTGCTTATGGTTTATGGCTTCCCCTCCCCTTTAGCCATGCCCTTTGCGTTCTGCACGCGAGAGAAATTCCCCTGGTGTGAGTTTGCCGAGGAGGCGGAACGCGGTCCGACAACCAAAATGCTGGCGGAGCTGGCCAAGGCCTACAACATGGTTATCATACACTCAATACTGGAGAGGGATGTGGAGCATGGCGAAACGATTTGGAACACGGCCGTGGTCATTTCGAACAGCGGCCGTTACATGGGCAAGCATCGCAAGAATCACATACCACGCGTCGGCGACTTCAATGAGTCCACCTACTACATGGAGGGCAATACGGGGCATCCAGTGTTCGAGACTGAATTCGGCAAACTGGCGATTAACATTTGCTATGGCCGGCATCATCCGCAGAACTGGATGATGTTCGGTGTGAATGGTGCGGAAATTGTGTTCAATCCCTCGGCCACAATAGGACGTCTCTCGGAGCCATTGTGGGGTATTGAGGCGCGAAATGCGGCCATTGCCAATAGCTACTTTACGGTGCCCATCAATCGCGTCGGCAGCGAGCAGTTTCCCAATGAGTACACCTCCGGCGACGGCCAGCCGGCGCACAAGGAGTTTGGACCCTTCTATGGCTCCACATATGTGGCAGCGCCCGATGGCTCCAGAACTCCGGTAAGTCTTGGAATTATTTCCATCAGTCTAATGCGACGTCCTTCGTTTTCATGTAGAGCCTATCCCGCTGCCGCGACGGTCTGCTGGTAACCGAGCTGGATCTCAATTTGTGTCGCCAGGTCAAGGATTTCTGGGGCTTCCGCATGACGCAGCGACTGCCGCTGTACGCCGAATCGTTGCGCAAGGCCGCCGAACTGGACTTCCAGCCGCAGATAATCAGGGAGTCGTGAACACTTCCAAAAATGTATATTCAAAATAGAAAATCAAATGAAAAATATTACAAATCCTTTTGGTAGTACCCAGTCAGACGTTTAGCCTCGCGCATGCCCGTCTCCACGGCGCCATGCACGGTGGAATAATGAGTCGAGCTGGTTGCCTCGCCGGCAAACAGAAGAACTGGTCGCACCGACATGGGTATTATGTGATCCCAGGAAATGCGCGAACCGCACGGCTCATAGGCCAGCATATTGACCGGCTGGGCCAGCTGGTCGGGCCCGGTCTTGTAGATGTTGGTCAACAGGGAGCGGTACGAGTAGGCGCCCAAATGAGCCGGATCGATGCTCCATTTGCTGCTGACCACGCGCTTGGGATGCGGTATCTTCAGATGGGGCAGAAATCGCTTCAGCATATACACGACCCCATGGGCCAACAGTTTGCCGTCTATTGTCTCGATCACCTCCGTGCTGGGCCCCGCCGCCCAGCCGAGCAGCACCCGGGGCTGACAGGCATAGACGTGAAAGGCATATATGTCCGAGACCCATTCGAGCTGCGGCTGATTCATATCCTCGGTGCGCCACATGGCATTGAAGCCGTGCCAGTTGTCCTGCCAGAATTGTTCCTCGAATTCGGCAAAGATCTTGCACACGCTGCCAAAGCCCATAAAATTGATAGCCTTGCGTTTGGCCTGCGGCAGATACGGATGAAAGAATGTGGTATTACGCTTGAGCACGCCCAGCGATACGGTGACAACCACATGATCCGCAATATATTTCTTGTCATCCTCGCAGGAGAGCTGCACGGTGCCATCCGAACGATCCCAATCGATTTGCAGGACGCGCGTATTGAGATCAATGCAATCCTTGAGCATACCCTGCTCGTTCATCTCGTCGCCGCCAAGGAGCACGCGCAGGAACTGCTTGAAGCTGTAAGGGATAACGAGGGTTTAGCTTGGATTGGGTTGGTTGAATCCTAACGGTTGCCTGGCCCTACCCGCGTTCGCGGAAATTGTGGTTTTCGCCGTGACAGGTGCGGTATGTCTCGTAGCCGGAGGCGCTCATGTCTGTGTCCACGGCGCTGCCCTCCATTTTCTTGAATGTGCGCAAAAATTCGGCTGCCAGCTCGCGATTGAGATGCTTCAAGCCCGGCATTGACAGCTCCTCGGCAAACTTCTCCACCAAATATTCACCAAAGGTGCCCTCGCGCTCGAACAGCTCCGAGCGCTTATAACGATAGATGGACGAGAGGACATTCACCAGCTTGCGGGCGAGAGAGCGCGACATGCGCTGTCCGCTGGAACGTATCCAATCCATGTGCCGAAACATGTCGCACGCCGGTTCCAACATATCCAATTCCTTAACCATTTGATATACAACATTCTCCTGCTGACCATAGACCCACTGGGCACCCAAATCGACATAGTTGTCGGCAAATTTCATCGTTCTGATCCGTCCGCCGATGCGATTGGACATCTCCACGATCCGTACGTTCTCGAAGCCGTGCCTCTTCAGCTCGACGGCGCAGGCGAGCCCCGAAACGCCGGCGCCCAATATCAGAATTTTGGGATCCTGGTGCAGGGGCAGACTAAGCTTCTTGGGCGATTTTCTTTTGGATGCATGATACCGATTGTGAAGCCCTTGATTTGGTTTTTTCGCACAACACTGCGATAGTTGGGGCTTAAATATGAATTACTCCAGTTGCCATCGGCCGTACTTACACTTCCCATATAATAATTTACAAAATTTTTCAATTAGCTAAAACCAAAACTGTAGAGAAATTGTCAAATCCACTCAAATTTTGAATTTAATTGCCTACTCAGCACAGCTCCAAGCAATCCCCAAAAGGAAGATGCCAACGATTATTATGGGGGCAGAAATTTTATAAAGTTCAATTCTTATAGAAAAACGTATCAAAGGATATATATCTTTGCATATAAATTTAATTCAATTCAATCAGATGAAAAATGAAAATAGCCAACCATGAATATAACCAAAATTAATGCCAATCGGACGAAAACTACAACCTTGCAATCGTTTTGCACTTATTTTCCACTATATAAAGTAGTGAAAATGCAGTTCATCAATCAGTCAGACAGACAGACAGACAGTCAATCAATCAATTATATATATATACATATATACATATGTGTATATGCATTTATACATATATGTATATGGATAATCACATTTAATTGCTATGTCGGGCAAAGAGCTCGTATTTATATTTATATGGGACTCAATCACTCAATCAGTCAGTCAGCACAGTTTTGTTTGTCTTTGTACTAACAATTTATACTTATTTTCAACTTTGAATGTAACTTCTGTGCAAAAAGGAGCGCTGCGTTGATCGCCAATTTGTCAGTCAGGCAGTCAATCAGTCAGCCAGTCAGTCAGTCAATCAGTCGGTCAGTATATATTGTTAATCTATTTTATAGCCATTTTGAGCTTAAATTGTAACTTGTGTGAAAAATGAAGCTTTTTAGCGCTGCGCTTTGCGTTTATCTACAATTAGTAAATCAATCAATCAGTCAGCTAGTCAGTCAGTCAATCAGGCGGTCAGTTAGGACAAAATGTTTCGTAGTTAGATGGATATAGGATTTATGCATGGTTAATAGCACATAGTGGCAGTCTATATATTTGTATACATAATCATGATTGATTGATTGATTGATTGATTGTAAGTAGGACCTAAGAAGCCAGAAGTTAGGTCAAAATATTTCGTATTTAGATGGACATAAGATTTATGTATGGTAAACAGCACAAAGTATCATTCTATGCTACATATTTGTATATCTACTCAGGATTGATTGATTGATTGATTGTAAGCAGATTCTAGGAAGACCTAACCAATCAGGCGGTCAGTTGGGACAAATAAGTAAGATGGGCATAAGATTTATGTATGGTAAATAGTAGCATTCTATGCTATATATTTGTATATCTAATCAGGATTGATTGATTGATTGATTGTAAGCAGATCCTAGGAAGACCTGAGCTTCTTTGTTATTATTTTTTTTTCATTTTATCCATAATCCATTGCACAATTACTTACAAAATAGGCTCGCGCCGACTCCTGATGTTATAGCTGCGACTTGGCCGGCGCCACGCTGAGGCCATAAAAGTCCGCCAATCGCTTGGCCTCACGCCAACCGGCCTCCACGGCACCGTGGACCGTTGAGTAGTAATGCTCGCTGCTGGCCTCGCCGGCGAACTGGACAATTGGCTTGTCGCAGCGGCTCTGCTGCGGGACCAGCATTTTGCTGCGTCCCGGCGAAGGCGGCGTCATGGCAACCACCGTCAATGGCTGGGCCAGATCGCTGGCGCCGGTGCCCAGGCGTTCCGTGTCCATGGAGCGAAAGGAGTAGGAGCCACGGAAATGCGGATTTGTGTACCAGGCGGAGCTGCGAAAGCCGAGCGGCTCGGGTATGTGCCAGTGTAGAAAGCGCCGGAAGAGATACATGCAGCCGGCAACTACCTCAGCTGGCTGCAGTGACTCCATGTGCCGGCCATTGGCATTTATGATCCAGCCGGCGAGGACGCGTGGCTGATAGCTGACGCGATAGAAGCCAAAGACATCCTCCAGCCAGGCAAGCGGCGTATTGCGTATATCGGCCAGATCCTGCTGACGCCACAACAGCGTAAATCCCGTCCAATCCTCGGGCCAAAAGGCCGCCGGAAACTCGACAAACAGCTTGTTGACGGTGCCAAAGGCCAATCCCTGGATAGCACGTTGCTTGGCCACCGGCAGCTGCGGCTCGAACAGCTGCAAATGCTGCTCCTTAAGGACGCCCAGCGAAACGGTGACTATCACATGATCTGCCAGGCAGGATTCGCCGTTGTTCAGCTGCAGCTCGACCCGAGCATCATTGCGATTCCAATTGATTTTGGTGACGCGCCGATTAAAGAGCACCCGCTGCTCGAGGATGCCCAGATCCGAGCTCGTCTGCAGCTCGCGACTGCGCGTTAGCAGACGCAACAGCTCGACAAAGCCCTTGTCCTTCCAGTTAAGCAGAATGTCGCCCTCGCACTCCCAATAGTCCAGATAGCCGCGCCCGGACACCTCCTCCAGAGTGTCGGATGCCTCCACAGAGTTCTCGAATTTTTGATAATTATCAAAGAACTCGCCCGCAATGACCGGATCAATGTCGGCATTCTCCGGCCGGCGCAGCATCTCATAGAACTTGCTCGACAGATAGCTGCCCAGTGAGCCGCTGCAGTGCTGCAGCTCCAGCTGCCGTGTGACCAGCGAGTCACCCACAATCGCCTTCAGCCGGCTGGCGACGTTGTCCGGCAAGACTTCGCGATTGCTGCGCACACACTGATAGTTCTCGTAGACGGGTCCCGTGGACTCCAGCAGATCTTGCTGGCTGGCCAGCTCGTAGACAATGTTATCCTGCTCGCCGTGGCACCATTGGGCGCCCAGATCGATCACGTTCTCGCCAAAGGGTATCGTGTGTATGCGACCGCCCAGACGCGACTCGGCCTCAACGATCAGCACATTCTGGAAGCCATATTCCAGGAGCTTGGTAGCGCAGGCAACACCCGATGCTCCGGCGCCGATGATAACAATTTTGTGATCCCGATGCGATTTGCTCATAGCGTTCTATATAGATCCTCCACAACTGCAAACAGAATGGATGCGAGAGGTGATAACAAGTCTCAAGTAAACTAGAGGGGGCAGAGCAGAGCGCGCGGCTGGGCGAACAATCAGCGTGTGAATAATTGTGATTTATTACAATTAAACGAGATTATAAAAATTTCGCTAATGGAATGGGATATAATCAAAATTTAACTCAACACGACTGTTTGTAACCTACATACATAACCGGGCGTATCGCGCCTTAACCGAAGCAGGTTGACCAACACCCCCTTAATCACCTGAGATAGCTTAAGTATCCTAGCTCGCATAGTTCGGGCATCAATCAGTCAATCAGTTAGTCAATCAACTCGCTAGTTAGTCAGTCATTTGGTCAGACAGTCATTCCGTTAGTTAATTAGACAATTAATCAGTCAATCTTTCAATCAGTCAGGCGATTATACATTCAGTCATCCAGTCAATCAGTCAGGCAGTCATTCATTCAAGTAGTTAGTCAGTTAACCAGTCATCATTCATTCAACTTATTACACAATTAATCAGCCACCGTTCAGTCAATCTTTTAATCAGTCAGACGATTATACATTCAATCATCCAGTCAATCAGTCATTTAATCAGGCAGTCATTCAGTCAACTAGTTAGTCAATTAATCAGTCATCTTTCATTGAACTTATTACACAATTAATCAGTCATTATTCAATCTATCAATCAGTGAGACAATAACATATTTAGTCATCCAGTCAATCAGCATGTCAGTCATTTAGACAGGCAGTCAATCAGTCAGCTAGCTAGTCAATCAATCAGTCAATCTATCAATCAGTCAGACAATCATACATTCAGTCATCCAGTCAATCAGTCAGTCAGTAATTCATTTAACCAGTTAATTAGTCAATAAGTCAGTCAATCAGTCTGTCGGTTATTAACTCAATCAGTCATGCAGTCAGTCATTTGTTGTCAGTAAATCATTCAGGATAAACAGAGAAAATAAATGTAGAAATGTCTTCACATGAAATAAGATCGGCCAAAAGCCGTGAGAAAGTCGCTCGTCCAAATATGCAGGGTATGCAGTTCGGCCTAACTGACGTAAGCATTAAAGAAAGATTATCTTCAATTTCTTACGGTGACAAACGAATAGTTGAAAGAATTTTGAATGTAATTTCATATTTTTGGTATATTATAAACAGATTAAAATATTAACCTACTTTTTTTCTTCAAAAACATTTAAAATTTGGAAATTTGTAAAGTTTGTCAATTAATTTGGAGTTGTACTAAAGGAAAAGGCAACAATAGAAATTTAAAATTAATTTCTGAAATCCAAACAAAAATATTAAACTAAATTTGGATAGATTATAAAAATAAAAGGGCATAAAAGTATTTTCAAAAAGCCAACTAACGCCATCGAAATATACATATATATATATGTATATATATCACACATGTGATTAGCAGAGAAAAACATTAAGAATAATGTGAAACAGGCGTTACAAACATTCTCACGAATCCATAATACCCTGTTGCGTGAATTATGATGAGAAGCCGGCATAACGGTAATTGTATATGTTGTTGTTGTTTTGTTTTTCTGTTTTGTGTGTGCTTGCGTGTACAGGAGAAGGGACGGACGGTACGAGGGGGACCATTGCAGCACAAACACGTGCGCAGACACAAATGCCATTTAACGCGAATTCCGTCTGCCCACTTGCTTATGCAGCTGCTTTTGCAATAGTATTAGTTACATACATGGAAAACGTACTTACGAAAATAAAAATAAAAACAGACTATAGGTGGCGCGGTGACAAATTGCATTAGAAAACAGCTGAAACAAATTACATTTGCATTTAAACGAAATTCGTAACGGTGTTTGCTGATAAGAAGAAACGCGCGCAGCGCGTCAAGCTCTGATAACGGGACTCGCTTTAAGTGAGAATGAGAGCGCGCGCAATCACACAGTTAGACAGACGGACACGCGATACACGCACACAACGAGTTCAGCCTGTACTTATTAATAGCCAATGGAGTGGGACGAGTGTTCAGTGGATAAACGGTACATAGGCAATTTCTTAGCTATGCAGTTGGCTTGGCCAGCCTGGACCAGCCAGTTTTCTGGCTGGCAACCCCAGCGGCACGCTTATACAATGCCCACTTACTGCACACGCAATGGATGGCTCCGGTTGCCAGAAAGAGAACGTAGCATTGATTTTATTTGTATATTTGACAAAGTGACCAAAAACTTTTCAAGGTTCAAGCGCAGTGCATAAAATTATAAAAAAATAAAAAAACACAGCACTGCACACGTTTTGCACATACGTATGTACATATATGTACATATATACACAGACTGGCATAAGCATGCTTGTGCATGCACGTATGTATGTATCGGCACAAAAAGCTCCCCTCACTCCACTCCCTGTGCTCTGCTAGCCTTGTCTCACTTACCGAAAATAATTGTTTTTGGTTTATTTTATTACTTTTGATTATGATAATGTTAATTTTATTAATTCACTGCACTTTAAACACACATAAATACGATTATAAAATATTGTTGCTACTGCTGCGGTCTGCCGTGGACACAGACACAAACAAAACTGAAAATCATATGGAAACGTGCTGCTCCACAATACTTATGCTGCGCCAGTGGCGTACCATGTCGCCCCACCCAAGCTACACATGGCTGGCCAAAGTTTCAGCTACGCCTCTGCATATGCTGAGAGCTTTTACCGTACGAAAGCTCCCAGCGAAAGCGCGCCAAGGCACGCGACAGCTGACCGGCGTATGAATGAGCTGTTGCGCTGTGAGTGCGTGTGTGTGTGTGTGTGTGTGTGTATGAGGGGGGGAGGTGTTGGCTAGTTTTATAAGTAGAATGTCTTATACTGAGTATACGTTGCAGATGTTTATAAGTAGTTGCTGTTGTTTTACCACAGCTTGTCGCTGAACACGATCTCCTTGAAGATGCAATCCTGTTTGGCAATGCTGACCATGGCCTTCTTGGATTTCATCGCATCCTGCACCTTCTCGCGCACCTCGGCCGCCTTCACATCGTTGCGTATGTAGAAGAGACGCACCAGATGATCCTCGCTCAGCGACGGATAGCTGCCCAGCAGCGTATGCAAATCCAGCGCAAGCAATTCAATATCCGCAACAAGGAGCGCCGACAGCGTGGTTATCAAATCCAGCGGCGAATCGCTGAGCGAGATCTTGGGCGCAATCTTCTCAAAGAACTGTTTAATGCGCTTCGCCTCCAGATTGATTTTGCGCGTAATCGCATCGCATTCGCTGCGCGTCTTGGACAGCCGCTTGGAGAGCAGCGCTCGAATGTAGCGCTTGGCCAGCAGCTTCTGGGCCTCATTGATGACCATCTCAAAGTTGGCGGGCAGCAGATGATTATAATCTTGGAAGTAATCGTCCAATGTCACACAGATCGTGTCCACGGCAATGCTGCTGCCGAGCCACTTGACCGTGAAGAGCTCATTGAAATGACATTCCATGTCCAGAAAGGCTTCCTCCAGCAAATAGTTGGCGGCATGTGCGCGTATGCGCTGGAATGTGGCCAACAGTTTCTCAAAGTCCTCATAGTGTTCTGTGCGGGATTTGGGCCAGAACAGATGCTTCATCTGTTGCGCCATCTCGACCACGTTCTGGCTATTGTTCACAATGGTTATGATATAATGCGTAAAGTATTTGATCTGGTCGCGATTGCGGAAATGATGCTCCTTCAGCTCGATTACGTTCTTCAGATACGTTTGGCCAAACAGCTCCACCTGCTGTATGCTGAGCACCAGGGCCTTAAACGTGAGCTCCTGGTGTATGGTATTGGTCACCTGCAGATGCTGGTCGATCATCTCGAATATGATCACGGGGCCCGCACTGTTATAATAATGATCCCGCTGATCGGGCAGCATTTCGGAGTACCATTCCTGCTTCTCCGAGTCGACGGTCTTCTTCATCCAATCCTGATAGTTGCGCTCCATATTCTGCAGATACTCATCCTCCAGAGATTTCAGATGCTCCGGATGCAGCAGTGGCCGCGAGAGCTTCAGCACATCCACATTAAGATCCGCATGCGACATCAGATCGGCGCCGGGATAGGTGTGCATAACCCAGGCCAGCATCGATACATACTCGTTACCCTGCAGGCCCGACTTCACAATGTTGTCCAGCTGCAGGTGGCAGGCAAAAAAGGTTAAGTTAAGCTAAAGTGGAAGAATGTGGAGCACGTTACTCACGTAGCTGGAGAGGCCCTCGTGGTAGAAGCGGACATACTCGTTGAAGATGTCGTAGTGGGGCGGGAAGCAGGGCACGCACAGCGACTTGACCACACGCAAGTCTTCCAGGATGATCTGACGCAATATCTCCAAATCTCGCACCAGCCACAGCTTATTGTCCGCACGCTCCTCCAGCTTGGAGCCCTCGATGCGCGTTATCACAGCCGCCTGCAGCACGTCCATAATCATTTTGCGCCACGCCTTGGGCCGGCCTGGGGGCAGGAAATTCGTGACCTTCTGCTGCTGCAGGGCAAACTGATCGTTCTTCTCCTCGCGCTCGATGATGCGCAGCGCCGTAACAATGACCGTGGGCTTCTTGCGCACGGTGTTCAGCGTGCGGCTGATGATCAGGCGGAGTTTCTTCTCCAGCGCCTGTGAGACCTGATCCACCTTCTCGAAGTGGCGCTTGAGCGTTATCTTGTCGGAGGCATGCTGCTTGGGCTGTTTGTGCAGCTCGTAGAGCAGATCGTCGCGTGAGTTCTCCAGATCCGCCAGGCATTGATGCGCATTCAGCAGCTTGTCCTCGTCGATCAGGGCCATTGTTTTCTGGACGCTGGCATCCACATTGAAAATGTGCTTGAGGTTCTCCATGGCCGTTGCGTATTGCGAGTGCTTCGTGTTCTCCTCGCGCACCACCTCGAGCGCATCGTAAATCTCGGGCACGCCCACGAGCAGGCGCTCCACCTCGACCATGCGACGACGCACCTCGCGCACATCCTGCATGCACGTCACCAGCTGCTTCAGGCCGACACGCACGCCCTCCAGCTGGTTCTGCATGCCCGTCTTCAGCAACGCCTCCACGGATGCTTTTTTTCGTGCGATGCGATGACGATACTGCTCCACTTTTTCCAGCTGTCCGGGACGCTGCAGCATGTTTTGTATGTCCTTGAGCGCTGCTTGGCGCGCCTCCTCTTCCAATTGTTGCAAATCCATTGTTTAAATTTATCTAACTTTTAAATTGTGATTAATTTTTGTTTTTGTTTTGGAAAAAATCTAAATTACCGATAACAGCGCAATAACATAGGCTGAACAGCTGTTTGTTGTGGTAAGTATATCGATAGTTGGCAACTGTTGATAGGCAGCACTGGCCAATGTTAATAGCCGGCAATAACAATTGCAGCCGTTACAAATAACGTATGCAGTCGGCTCTTGCATTTGTAGAGTTACGAATATATCTGTGGACAGAGGGGTTTTGCCGAGAGTTTGCTTAATGCTTAAGAGAACATTAAATAATGACAGACAGCTCTAAGTTCATGTCTACAGCAACTCCAGCAGCCGCTGCAGCTCTTAATATAGCCTCAATAGCCGCGCAACCGAATGCCATCACTTTATCGATACTTATCGATACTTCGAGCTTTCTGCGCATCTCCAGCCTCGCAATTAAAAAAAGGAGAAGAAACTTTGTTTCGCACATTGGTGACCCGTCTTCCACGAACAGGCCAATATTCCTGTTAAACAGTAACGTAATATCCAAAACGTTAGAATTATGTTTGCTTTGGCAAAAGTTTTCGTTGAACAAAATAAGTTAATTGCCTTTAACGAACCTTACAAAAACGAACTGGAGATAATCAAAGTTTTGCACACAATGCCTGCAGCGAAACGTCAACGCTTTAAGGAGCTGACCGAATCCGTGCTGCAGGATCTGGACGAGTCCAGCAATGTGGCAACTCGCGCCAACCATTCGCGCTCGCTGCGGGAGCAGGGCAACCAGGTCTACAAAACTAAATCCAAGAAAAGTGGCAACGACTTGGCGGAGTGTCTGCTCAGCGCCAGTCGCCTCTATACGCAGGCTATTCTCGAGGCGGAGAATGCCTACGAGGAACTGTGCTTGGGCTTCGCCAATCGCGCCATGGCACTGCAGGACTTTGGCTACTACGAGCAGGCCTATGATGATTGCGAGTGTGCCCTGGAGTTTGGGTATCCCAAGAATATGCAGCATAAGCTGATCATGCGGCAGGCCTATTGTGCCTGGAAGCTGGGCGATGCCCAGAAGCTGGGCGAGCACATAGCCTGCCTGGAGCAGCTGGAGCTAAATGCCAGCTTTACCCAGCAATTGGAGCAGCTACAGCAGGAGCTGCAACTGCTGCAAAGCAATCCGCCAGCGGAGGAAGTGGAGCAAGCGAAGCTGGACGAAGTGAAGCGAAACAATACTGAAATGTAAATTTTGGAATTTTGTGCCATTAAACCCATTAACCCACTAATCTTATGCCAAATTGCAGCTCAACGGACGCAGGCGGCAGGGAACGCTACATGATTGCCTCGCAGCGTATTAAGCAGGGCGAGATTGTATTCACGGAACAGGCCGAATGCTTTGTGCCGACCCAGGGCCGTCTGATTTGCCAGCAGTGCGCGGCGAGTCTGCTGTGCGCGCCGATACCCTGTACGCGGTGCCATCAGCGCGTGGTCTACTGTTCGCGCCGCTGTCGCCAGCTGCACGCGGCCATCCACGGCTACGAGTGTGAGGCGTATCGCAGGGATTTGCTGCTCTCGCTTGGACCTTTCCATTTGGCTCTGCGCGTGGTGCTCACCTATGTGCCGCATTGGCTGCCGCAGCTGCGCAACGGCGGCTCGACGGCGACAGAACTGTGGCAAACTCTGATAGCCATCGCCTCCGCCGAGCACCATTGGCCAACTGCACCGCAGCATACGCAGACCCTGTGCATGATGCATCATCAGGACAAGGCGGACGCCTCGAAGCTGATGTATTGCGTGTTCTCCGCCAACCTATTGCAGGTTTATCTGTATAAGTGCACCAATTTCTATGAGCAGCTGCTCGCCAGCACAGCTGCCTCGGCCGAGGATTGGCATTTGCTGCTGGCCGCGCTGTTAGCGCGCACCAACAATCAATTGCTGAACAATGCCCATGTGGGCGATGCCATTCTGCCCCGCGACCTGGGCTTCAATGAATTTGTGCTGCTCCGGCCGCAGCTGTGGCGCGCACCATTCCGTCTGCGCTTGGGCTGCCTGCACAAGTTCGACAGCCCAACACTTGTCAAGTCTCTCAATTTGCCGTACTATGGCCTGTGCAATCATGCCTGTGATCCCAGCCTGCGCAGCTGGTACGATGGCCGTTCGGTGAGCAGCTATGCGGCGCGGAACATTGAGCCCGGCGAGGAGATCTTCAATTGCTACACAGCGAACTACAAGACGGCCAGCTATGCCAAGCGCAAGGAGCAGCTGGAGCAGACCTTCAACTTTCAGTGTAGCTGCAGCAAGTGTGTCCGTGCCGAGCCTGATCAGGATTACGTGGGTTAACCTATCCCAGCTACGCTCTATTTTTGGCATCTCATCTCATTTATTTTCCCTACTCTCGCAGTTTGCTTCTCATCGCTATCGCTGCGAGCACTGCGAGCAGATCTTTGTGCCTGCCCAGCTGGCGGAGCTCAGCTGGTGGCAGGAGTCCGAACCGCCGCAAATTTGCTGCACAGTATGCCAGGCGCCCCAAGATTTCAGCTGGCATGAGGAATTTCTAGTGTTATGCGCATGCTGTGATAAACCGAATGCGCGTCACGAGGCGTACAAAGTGCTCGACAATCTCAGAAATTGGCTGCTAGACTATCATAGTCTCAGGCTATGCTTGGCCAAAAAGCTAGTCCTGGCCTGCCTAACAGCCAAAGCAGGTAAGTGGAACACAAGCAGCATGTGGACTCGTCGTCGTAACTCCCTTGCTACCTGGCGAGTGTTTGTGATTTATTATAATCCTTTCGCTTTCCCGACAGCCGGACATCCGTTCGAGGACACCGAATTTAGCCATTTGGGGCGCATTATTGAATACTTGCTGGCGGGAGCTGAGGCGCAGATTGGCAGCAACGCGGTTGAGTACATACCCATAATGGGCTGCCTATTCGATCTGATTGCCTGGGGCAAATACAAGTGCAGCAGGAAGAGGCTGGCCAAGATGCGGGCCAAGCTCGATTATCTGGCCGGCGAAACGCAACAGATATTTGTCAACTATTACAACGATTTTATTGAGCCGCATTGCAAATGACAATAATAAATTCACTTGCTAACAATTTATAATTATAAATTCTCTAGATTCAAGCTAAAAACAACAACAATAAACACTGGCACTTTGTTTCTGGCATCAACCAAGACTAAGACTACGTTCGAGAGAGCTGATTTAAATCGAATGCCCCTTGATTTAGATAAAGTGTGAGGCATATTCGTGCGGCATGACGCCGCGTCGCGGATAGAACGTGTGCGCCGTCGAAAACTTGAGCAAATTCGTAATGTCGCTGGTGTAGATGTCCGCGAAGCGGAACAGACGCCGCGAGAAGTACGTGGGATTGTGATACGTGCGAAAAACGCTGCCGAACTGTTCGTTGAACACGTTCTTTGTCTTGTTGCTGCAATGCGAAATATATATGTAATAACATCTATTTAGATTATCTTAGCTGCAAACCCACCGCAATTGATCACGCTCCTCCATCCAGTCACGCAGGCAGACCTGCGCAGCCTCGCTCTCCTCGTCCTGCGTATCCTCAATCAGCTGTGTGAGCATCTGCAGCCAATTGGCGCTCATCTTGAAGTCCACGCGATTCAATGTCTTGATCTCATGCTGCAATTACATTGAGAATTGATTTATAGAGTACATAATTTGAATTTGATTTCAAATATAAATACACACGGCCAGCTCGCTGATGATGGCGCCCGTGCGCCAGCTGTGCTTTAGGGTCACATCTGCCAGATCGCTGTAGGGATGATCGCCAAAGTAGAGCACCGAATGGCCGCGCCAGCCTTTCAGCTCCTGCAGCTGCCGCACCGAGCCCTGCGAATAATGGGAAATTTATATAATATTAGGTAATGCGCTGCGCTACTGATTTTGGCTATAGAGTTATTACTAATGCATAGGCTTATGACTAATGTACTATGATGCATGACTAATGCATTATTTTCTATTATTTAATTTAATAATATAAAGTAATACGCTTCGATAACTGAAAGAATCATACACACAAAAACTAATCATTTGACTGATTCTGGCTATATAATCATTACTAATGCATACCTTATGACTAATATATAATGATGTATGACTAATGCATTATTTCTTATTATCTAAATTAATAAAATAAAGCAATACGCTTCGATAACTAGAAGAGTTATCCACACAAAAACTAATCATTTGACTGATTCTGGCTATATAATCATTACTAATGCATAGGCTTATGACTAATGTACTATGATGCATGACTAATGCATTATTTCTTATTATCTAAATTAATAATATAAAGTAATACGCTTCGATAACTAGAAGAGTTATCCATCCAAATACTAATCATTTGACTGATTCTGGCTATATAATCATTACTAATGCATAGGCTTATGACTAATGTACTATGATGCATGACTAATGCATTATTACTTATTATCTAAATTAATAATATAAAGTAATACGCTTCGATAACTAGAAGAGTTATCCATCCAAATACTAATCATTTGACTGATTCTTACTATATAGATCTATATGCTATTATAATTAGACTTGCGATCGCCTAATGCATTACTAATGCATTATGATGCCTGACTAATGTATTATTTATTAATATTTAATTTAAATAATAAAGAGTAATACGCCTCGATAAGACTTTGCAGATGTGTGATGTTGCGGCTAACTGTAAGAGATATCTATAAAAAAAAAACTAATTACCATACTAATTCTGGCTAAAGACTTAACTAGCGACTGCCTAATGTATTATTTACATTTCTAACAATTGATTTTACAGCTGTGTTAAGTGTTTTACAGCTGTGCAAATACACGTAAAGTGTGCTACCTCATAATAGATTTTGCCTTTTTCCAGCTTAAACACGCGATCCCATAGATGCGAACTGGTTTTCTCATCGTACAGCCGTATGGGCCGTGATTCATCCGTAAAGAATTTTGGTTTGCGCGCCTGCACAATGACCACATCGAAGAAATCTCGCCAATTGGCGCCCACCAGATAGGACATGCCGCAATTGCTATTGGATTGGGGGGGAAAAAAAAAACAACAATATTATATTTGGACTAGCCATATGATGTTTCTTCGGTGCGCCACTTACACGAACGAAAAGGGACTGTTGGTCACCAGAAAGAGATTCTTGCCAGCCTGCTGAAGCTTCTGAAAATATTGCACAAGTCTTGAATTGCGTTCGATGTACTTTTCCGTGTTCTTCATGACGGTGGCATGCATTATGGGATGACAGGAGCCCATCGCGGTGCGCGTGTCATGGAACACAATCTCCGGATGGTAATCGATGCGATTGCGTTCAAAATATTCGATAACATTGCACAGCAGGCACATTTCGGGCACTGAGAACAGATCCGCCAATTGCACCATTTTCGAGTTCGTATTATGCTGTGCGGGAACAGAAATCGAGAGAGAGTTTAAAAACCAACTTTGCTTGAGTCAAATGAAATATCCACCCTATAGCTATTGTTGGGTCCCTCCACGTAGGCGATGGGCAGCAGACGATTGTGATAGAGCTTCAGGACCTCCTCGGCGTCCACCTTGGTGCGTCCACGATAGACGGAGCCGAGCTGTAGCTGCAGAAACGAGTCCAGCTTGACGAGCAGACCCTTCTCCACATCGTAGTGCAGGCCACGCACAGCGAAATTCGGCTCATATTCCAGATCTAGAATGTCGTCCGGATATCTGAAACGCTTGACCAGCATTTCACGGGCCAAATTGTACAGCAAGTCCTCCAATATGGGCTTGTAGCAGGCGAGTGTATAGTCATAGTCGAAGCCATACACCTGCACCTCGCTGAGGTCGAGCTCATTGCACGCAAACACGGCGTCCGGATGCACATCAACGGGCAGCTTTTTGGCTAAAATATAAAGATCACAAAAAGAGCTTTTTTATTGATCTTCTGGAGATTTAAATAGACTAAGCGTTGAGTCTAAATGGAGTGCCTGATAATCGTAAGGCTTACATTGAAATTTCTTTTTTGTTGCTTCGTAGAGCTCTTGGAAATCACTCACAGTTTTTCGGCCCCCCAATTTGGATTTGATAAGAGCGTGGCGGGACGTAACGGCTGCTCCGGTATCATGGCTGCTGGTGTTCAGGTAGCGTGGCCTGCGCCTGGCTGTGCTGCACGTGACTTGGCCCAACAGCACATTATGTTTAAATATAGCATCGACAATTGGTCTACGCGCTGCACACATTTAACTTGATTGGTTGATTTAACTGTTGTGTGGGCTGCATAAAGTGCTCGGTGTTATGTACACTCGCAGGCTGTGCGCGGGCTTAACACGAGCAGACTGCATGATGGTTAATTGAAGTGTTTGGCTAGGGTGTGCAGAGCGACTTTAACGCACAATGGCAGCTTAATTCTAGCAATCAGTATGCTACACTTGAAATAAAATTGAAGTTTACATTTAATAATTAGACTTAATTGATCGTTAATTAATATATGCAACAGCTGTTTGCTCGTGTGCCAAGTTGTGCAACACTGCTGTTATCGTGCCTGTGCCATATCGATAGCAACATGGCAGCGATGTTTCCTGTCCGTCTCTAATTGTGGAACAGACACGAACAAAATGAAAGCGATCGAATAGCGATTAAATTAATCCAAATTAAGCGTAAAAAGAAAAACAATTTAAATTTCGATATTAATTAACCAACTTGGGCAAAACACAGGAAATTTTCAGTGATTTTTCTAGCGACAAAACCGTGGGTAAAACTAGCTGCGTGAACGAATCAAAGTCAATTTCTTTGTGACCAGTGCATGTGTGTGCGTGTGTGTACGTACGTGCGATTCATTCATTTCCATTACGTGTGTGCTGGCAAAATTTGGACGGTATAAAAGTTAACCAAATAGCAGCAACAGCTCTTCGATGACTTGTGCAATTTTGTTGTTGTTTAAATTGTCAAAATAGATGCGAGCAATGTAGAGCTGCTGCTGGCCCCTACGAAGGGGGGGCCTCAGCCAAGTGCCATGAAATAGGAAAACATTTATTATACAAAAAATATAAAAGAACGTGATATACTAAATAAATTGATATTTGCGGCGCAATATTAAAAGCGAAAAAACGCATCACAATTTACGTTTACGCCTGAAGAAGAAGCAACAAATACGTCAAGCACAAATACCAATACAAAGACAATTTAAACGTATTGGTAAATGCGTATGTGAAGGTACATAGAATATACGTATGAAAAGCATTTCCGACAAATTTCGGCGTTATCAACACCAACACCACCCACCAGAAGCGCACAGTCGTTAGAAACAGCGAAACGTAGAGTAACCCAAAGAAAAAAAAAACAATAATAATAAAAAAAGAAACGAAAAGAAAAAGCTCACCGAACACAGAACCAACAAATTTGATACGTAGAATTATGAACGTAGAGAACCAATTGAAGACGCCGCTAACGCAGATTCGTAATTTGGTCAAACACGTGAACAAGCGAAATTTTAATGAGAGCAGCGAGCAAATAAAGCAGGTATGTTTCACATTTAACCTTGTTTTTAAAATACATAACCAAATAATAATAACAACAACAACAGAATATCAGCAATTCCAATAGCAATGAAATACAATGAGTGTTGGCAAATTTTGCACATATCGGCATAAGACAACACACACAGTGCTGCCAACCTAATAGCACAGCGGCTATATTGCCATTTCGCTCGCACATGCATTTTCGCCGACGCCATTACAGTTTGTGTAAAAGCAGAAAATTTCTCTGCCTTGCGCGAGTTTCTTGTAAAAAATTGCCTTTCTTGTTAAGTTGCTAGTTATTTAGAATGTATAAAACTAGCCTTATTAAGAACAATAAGCATTGCACGCCGCTGTTGCGTGCCACCTAGTGTAATATCTCTAGTGAAATTGTGCAAAAAAAAAAAACTTAAAAAGAGCGTACAAAGTTTTCTGCCAGCTGCGCTGCCGCCAGCCCTTGAAGTTCAGTGTACGGACTTAACTGTCTACCTTTTTACATTTAATATTGTGTGCGCAATATTTTGCAAATAATTGTGCAATAATATTGGATATCGGTAAGGAGTTGCATATTTTGCGATATTACTTTCTTATTAAATGCGCATATAAAATTTTCATTTCGACTACCAACACCAATACATGAGCATACATATAGCCCTCTTGCCTTCATGCTCACCCCTTGCGGTGTGTGTGTGTGTGTGTGTGTGTGTGTGTGCGCGTTGTGTGTAGGCCTAATATTCCCAAGTTGAGCGAGGAGTACTCTGTATGTCATTTTTTTTTTTTTTTTTTGCCGTTTTGCATTTTGTTGTGGAGCAGCTGCGCGGCCACAGCTGTTGTTGTCTCGCTTCTGCGTATACTCGATTGAGTTTCACATTTGAGTTTTTGTTTTTGCAGTGTGTGATGAGAGAGCATTAAAAAAAAAAATAAGGCTTTTGGGATTTAGTTATAGTTTTTTGGGGGTTTTTATTCAGATATTTAGTGATCGTTGTGGAGCTAGCTACGCTTCACATTTCTCTTTGTGACTTGTCAAAATTTCAAAGTGTGCAATGAAAATCGAAGAAAAAGAAGATAATTATAAATAGTTGCATCAATTATTATTCAGTTAATTGTGTGACCGCTTTTGATGAATTGCTCATGTGTTATCGATCTCTAACTTCTGCTGCCCGGGCAAGGCAACATGCTCAGGTAATCGTCTGAGCGACTCTGTATTAATCGCCTTCAACTTCTGCTCTCTCTCTCTCCCTCTCTCGCTCTCTCTCTCTCTTTCCATTTCTTTTTTGTTGTCCATTGTGACCTCGTTTGCAGTTTATCCAAGATTACGGCCTCGAAGCGGATCGTAGCTGTCTGCGATATCTGTTCACGGTACTTAACTTGAACGATCCGGCACCGAACGTCACCGCTCAGCTGCAGGCGAAGCTTCTCGGCGCGCACCTGCAGCGGCAACTGCAGTGCTCCTCGTTTGTGACCAACATATGCCTCGCCTTCGATCAGCATTTTGCCAAGCATAAGGTGCGTCCAAACCAAACCAAACACAGCAACAATAACTATTCCATGCTTTCCACAGAGTCTGAAGCCATTAGCACTTGCCGACCTCGTTGGACAGGTGGCCAAGCTAACTGGCATTAACAAACTTTGCGAGTGCATCTTTGCGCTAGCGGTGACCCACAGCTCCCATCCGGAGCTACGCCAGAGCGCACGTGAGAATCTGCGCGGCTCGCTGCCCGATCTGCTCGATTCATATCTGGGCCAAAATTCAGCTGCCGCAACTGCAGCTGCGAGTGGTCTGCACGAGATCTCCTTTGATCTGTTGCAGTATTTGTTGTGCTGCCTGAGCGAGTACGTGAGCCCGCAGCTGGAGTCACAGTTTTTGAATAAGCTGCGCGAGGAGTTTCCGCGTGAGGCGGTGCCATTGGTTCTAGCCCCGCTTTTGTATCGTAGCCCAACGACGGCGACGACAACGACGGCGACGGCAGCCAAATCGACCGAATCAACTGATGCAGAGGAGGAAACGACGAACACCAGCAGCTGGAGCAGCTCAAATGCAGATAATCTGAATGAAGTTGGCATTGAGGATATCTATGACCATTTATGCGAGATAATATTTACAAATCAGGTGCGTGCACAGCTCTCCGTCCAATTTATCTGCCGCCTCTTTTTTACAAACAATTTTACAATCTACTCTCACATATTGCAGGGCAAAAATAATATTATGGACACATCTTGGATTAATTTAATCCTTGAAATCGGTTATGAATTTACATCGAGCGTTGAAGATTGCAAAAATCATTTGTGTTGCGGCGCTGGCGGCTCCCGAGAACTGCAGCCCAAGGATGTTGCCAAAATTGTTGGACTCATGTGCCGCCGGCACTCGTCGCTGCTCGATTGCAATGTAAATCTACCGACACCGGCGAATTTCTGGCCCGGACAGGGACAACAGGCTGCTGGCAGCAGTAGCTCCAACACTTCACAAACCGCACAACAGAATTCTAGCAGCAACAACAACAACGATGGCAGCAGCGAAACCAGCAGCGCCGCCAGCGAGAAGAAGGACAAAAAGGATACAACAGACGCAACACAAACATGGAAGCCGGATGTGTTTGTACAGGCGCTCAAGGAGCTGGTGCCGCAGCTCAACTGGAAGGAGGTCTGCATGGGTAAGTGCCAGAAGCAAGACTATCTGCTTGCTAAATAGTTGAGAATATAGATGACTTTATAAGAAGAGAAGACTCCAAGCAGAATACTCTGTAGTGCTTGTATAGTCAGAGAACCCGCAATGGTTCATGTTAGTTAAAAATTTAGTTACTCATCAGAATTCAACTGGAGTCTGACGTTAACCCCAGACAAGGAGCCCAACTTAAACCACCGAAGGGCAAACAACAAGAATTGTTTCCGTACAGATTCAATTCTGGCTCTATTCATTTAAAATGTTTAACAAGGATTTCATTCTGTTATGCAAAGCTATGTAAAAGACAGCTCAAATTCTATAAAGTACATCAAATGCCCCTAGCCCTAGCTTCAATATGTTTGCAGGCGTAAATCTTCAACACCTTTTATTATAAATTCCGTCTCATTTCATCTCAAATCGAATTCCGGACATTGATTTTTCTGCTATCCTTAGTTTATTTGATATTTGCGTCATGTATAATTGTTTAAAATTAATATTAGTTTTTTTGTCCTGGCTTAATGAAATTTTTTAATGAAATTGAAATACATTTTTGTTTTGTACATTGGTTCTTCAAATCAGACCATTTATACATATAACTGATATATATATATATATATATATATATATGTACATGTATATATCTTCTAAATTTCGTAACATATTACAGAGCTCGATCATCCTGAGTTTGTGCTGAAGGATCGCATCGGCTTGGATCTGCTGCTGACCATACTAAGATTGGCCACGCAATCGAATCTGTTTCCGCAACCGGAATGCATTTACCGCCATTGGGCTAACACCGAGGGTCAATTGTCGCTGATAACGACCATGCTAAAGAATCCGGATCTGTTCTCCTTTGCCGACTACGTGTTCAGTCAGCCGGCGTTGGATGTGCTGAAAACGCCGCCCGATGCTGAGAATAAGGAGATAGCTGCATGGAAATCGTTGCATCTGGTTGAGGTGCTGCTCTCCATTGCGGACAAGGGCTACTTTAGTCAGGTGCACGAGCTATTCAAATTTCCGGCACAAAATTGTCCCGACGTACTGTTTCTGGCCCTGTTGCACATAAATCCGCCGTTGACACCATTGCGCCAGGATCTGTTCAATCAGCTAATACCCACATTTCTGGGCAATCATCCCAATTCGAATGTGATATTGGCCAGCGCCTGGAGCTCCACCAATTTTCAACTGCGGCCGAGCATCATGAACGCCATGTCCGAGTGGTATTTGCGCGGCAACGAGTTCGATCAGGGCAAATTGTCGCGCATTCTCGATGTTGCACAGGATCTGAAGGCGCTCTCCTCGCTGCTCAATGCTCGCTCGCATCTGTTTATCATCGATTTGGCCTGCCTGGCATCGCGCCGCGAGTACTTGAAGCTGGAGAAATGGCTGAGCGACAAGATACGCGACCATGGCGAGATCTTTATACAGGCCATGATCAAGGTGCTGCAACGCCGCTGTCCGCAGGTGACCAACTCGAAGCTGCCCGAGGATCAGCTGCCGCCCAAGCAGGCGCAACTGCTGCCCGAAACCGTTACCACAATGATCAACTGCCTTCAAGCTTGCATCAATACTTGCATACAGCCGGAGACGGCCGAAATGATTATGCAAATGGCCAGCAATGTGGCCATAATGGCTAGCAAGGCGCGCGCCGCACAGCAGCAGCAGCAGCAGCAACAACAGCAGCAGCAGCAACAACAGCAACAGGCTGGCGGCCCGCAGGGCTTGGTGCCGCCGCCGCCAAGTATTTTGCGAGGACATCGCGGCATGGATTTGCCAGGAGGCGGCATTGTGCCCGGCTCGGTGCCGCCACCGCCGCAGCCACAGCAACCCTTCTCGGGCAATCTGAATGCACAGCAAATGTTTGGACCCGGTGGCGGTATGGATCCGCTGACTAACATGTCCAACAATCTGGCGGGCCTTAATCTGGGCGGTCCCAATGGAGCTTTTAACTTTGGCAACATGCTGAGTAAGTATCCAAAAGGGAAACGAATCTGAGCGAGAATCTGCAATGGGCTGTGCCTGTTTGCTTTTGTTGTTTGTGTATTCTATTTTTGCCCATCCTTATGAACGGCTACAGATAACTTGGTTTCTACTCCAGCATCTCCGTCGCGCCTCATGAATCCCGGCGCCAACCCCTATCCGCCCATTCCAATACAAATCCCAGCGCCGCCGCCGCCAAATGTGGGCAATCTGGGCCGTATGCTGCCAGCTGGACCGCAACCAACGCCAACGCCACCGAATCCCAATAATCCGGTCATGGCCGATCTACAGATGCCCGTTTCCAAGGAGGTCGAGGATGAGGCGAACTCATACTTTCAGCGCATCTACAATCATCAGCCGAATCCGACACTGTCCATTGACGAGGTACTCGACATACTGCAACGCTTCAAGGAGTCCAGCCACCGGCGCGAACAGGAGGTCTTCCTATGCATGCTGCGCAACCTGTTCGAGGAGTATCGCTTCTTCTCCCACTATCCGGAAAAGGAGCTGCAAATAACCGCTCAGCTCTTTGGCGGCATCATTGATCGCAATCTGGTGCCCACATTCGTGGCACTCGGACTCTCGCTGCGCTGCGTTCTCGACGCACTGCGCAAACCGGAGGGCTCCAAGCTCTACTACTTTGGCGTGACGGCACTCGATCGCTTCAAGACACGCCTGCACACCTACAACAAATACTGCGAGCACATACGCTCCATACCGCATTTCAGTGACTTTCCGCAGCATCTCATCCAGTACGTGGAGTTCGGCATGCATGGTCAGGAGCCGCCGCCACAAAAACTGATCGGCCTAAGCAACACCATACCATCCTCGGCCATTGCCCAGGGCGCCACGGAGCCGCTGTACCGCGCCAACTCAATGCCCGGTAAGTTAACCATGATGTTCCCCTATTACCAAAGCATATATGTGAACAAAACTGGCAAGTCAGTCAAAGTTTTTCCTAGCAGCCTAAGTTAGCCTCTTAGAGGCTGGCCGCCTTAGTCTGAGCATCCTGCTGGCTGAGTCTGAATGCCCCAAGCCGTGGATAAGCATGTCAAATGCCGACACAGGTTAAAGTCGGCCCTCGTCCGTAACCAAGGGGGATTACCCTTATTATGTATTAATGTTATTTAAAGGTCGACAAAAGCAAGTGTCGTCCTAATTATTTAATGCATCAATTGATGAAAATTGAAAGCTAAAAGCCAATTTCCAAATAGCATCTCCGACACGATGGAGGTTGGGGAAATTTATAACCTGTCCGGCAAGCTATGCCCCCTACTCATAGCTGGGAATGGTCAGTGAGTTCCCGAAAGTATCCTAAAAGCAACAATTTTATTAGGGCTTGGAGAAAGTTCGATGGAGGAAACGTGATATAATTGTCATTGTAATTTTTGCATAGCGTAATCTGTTGTGTACGTAGGTAGAATTAAGGGTCGATAATTCGGAACAGAGAATTGAAGATGCCCTAACATGGCCGAGGCGCTTGCCAAAGTTTTGATTGACGTATTTGCACTCGTCTTTAAAAAATGTTCATTCTAAACTAATTGTCAATCCTCTTGCAGGCAATATGGCAGCTGCTCCGAATGTACAGAAGCAGCCCGTTGTGGTGTCGCATGCCACGCGCATGAAATCTATTGCAAATGCGACCAACATTGATACACTGCTCGTGGCCAAGCAGGAGGAGAAGGTGACGGTGCCCCCGGAGCCGGTGCAGGACAAGACGGCGTTCATATTCAACAATCTCAGCCAGTTGAATATACCGCAAAAATGCGAGGAGATCAAAGAGATCATGACCAAAGAGTATTGGCCCTGGCTAGCGCAATATCTTGTGCTGAAGCGCGCCTCGATGGAGTTTAACTTTCATACGCTCTACTACAACTTTCTGGATGCGCTCAAGAACGTCGAGATCAATCGGTATGTGACCAAGGAGACGCTGCGCAACATTAAGGTCCTGCTGCGCTCCGATAAGGGTGTAATCAATTTCTCGGATCGCAGTCTGCTCAAGAATCTCGGCCATTGGCTGGGCATGATGACGCTGGGTCGCAATCGGCCCATTTTACAGCTAGATCTGGACCTGAAGTCACTGTTGGCCGAGGCCTATCACAAGGGCCAGCAGGAGCTGTTGTTTGTGGTGCCATTTGTGGCCAAAATATTGGAATCATCCGCTAAATCGCGCATTTTCAAATCTCCCAATCCCTGGACCATGGGCATTATGTATGTGCTCGGCGAGCTGCATCAGGAGCCCGATCTCAAGCTAAACCTTAAGTTCGAAATCGAGGTGCTCTGCAAGACGCTCAATCTGGAACTGGAGAAGCTCAAACCTGTCATCTACCTGAAGGATCCAACACGGGCGCTGCTCATCGAACAACAAATGTCGCAGCCAAAGCCCAAGGTGGTCGAGCCGCCGCCCCAGCAGCAGCAGCAACATCAACAGCAGCAGCAACAGCAACAGGCGCAGCAGCAGCAACAACAACAAGCGCAACAGCAGCAGCAACAACAACAACAACAACAGGCGCAGCAGCAGCAGCAACAACAACCAGCACAGCCGCAGCCGCCGTCAGCTGAAGTCGATCCGCAGGCGATGCTGATGAACAACAACAACTCGAATGCACCCGGTTCCGTTTCATCGCCCAACTTGCCCACAGATCCCAGCCAGGTTGTGCTGCCGCCGCCGGAGCCGCGTTACTCCTATGTCGAGGTGAATGTGAACAATTTCCAGTTGATTGCCCAGCAGCTGGTATTGCCACCGAATATACCCTTCCTGCACTCCAATCCGGGCATCAAGCACATTGTGGTGAATGCCATTGAGCGCACAATTACCGACTGGCTGCAGCCGGTTGTAGATCGTAGCATACGCATTGCGTGCGCCACCACCGAACAGATTATACGCAAGGATTTCGCATTGGATGCTGACGAGAATCGCATGCGCACCGCCGCCCATCAGATGGTGCGCAATCTGGCCGCCGGCATGGCCATGATAACCGGCAAGGATGAGATCGCCCGGGCCATTAGCCAGAATCTGCACAAGGCCTTCATGGCCGCGCTGACGGGCGTGCAGAGCATGGCCGATATGCAGGCCGCCTCAATGCAGCTGGCCAATGAGAATGTGGAGCTCGTCTGTGCGTTCATACAGAAGACGTCCGCTGAGAAGTCGGCGCTCGAGATCGATCGACGTTTGTCGACGGACTTTGAGACGAGGAAAATCGCACGCGAAGAGGGCAGCCGATTTGTCGATGCACAAATCTTGAGCTATCAGCAGGAGCGTCTGCCGGAGCCAGTGCGTCTCAAGGTGGGCCCAGCGCCGCCAACACTGTACGCCGTCTATTCGGAGTTTGCGCGCAGCATTCCCGGCTTCCAGCAGATGAGCGACCGGGACATTGCACTGTTTGTGCCCAAGCCGCAGGATATACAGCCGCCGAATGTGTTTGCCAACGATGAGAGCAGCATGGTCTATGCCGAGGTGGCCAGCAAAATGGAAGCGTTCATGAACACAGCCATCAATGTGCCCACCCTCCAGCTGCAGGCCAGCAAGATGCACATGCTGCTGAACGCTCTGATGGCGACGCGTCGCCTGCGCGATCAGGAGTCGGCGTTCAATCTGCTGACCCGTGCCGTCGAGGGCCTGACGGAGGGTCTGATCAACGTGCAGGATCACATGGAACAAATGAAACTCTACCGGGACATACACTTGCGCATACTTAGCCTGCTGCACAACAGCTTCGGTGCACCCAACACCGAACGGGCGGTTACCAAATGCTTCTTCGATATACGCGAGGAGGTGCGCTATAATGTGGAGGCCGCACGCGCGCTCATCACATCGCATTTCGTCAATCTCAATCAGTTCGATGGCATGCTGCGCGACTGCATGGACAATGGCAACAATTATGTGGCCGTATCGTTTGGCATTGCGCTTCTCGAGCGCCTCATCATGGAGGATCGTGCCATCAACATTGTCTCCGACAATGAGTTTATGGCCACCGTCGAGCTGCTCGGCCGGCTCACCCAGCAGCGTCATCGCTATCCCGAGTGCATTGTCAATGCCATCGAGACGCTCTGGTCTGGCAATCTGAATACCAGCGATTACGGCTCCTTCAATCCGGGTGAACGTTATCTGGCCGGTGCATCTCATTACATACACTCCGGCATGCATCATGTTAGGGTAAGATCGGTTTAATCGAAGTTGAGTTTGTGTTTTATTTAATTGGCTATTTTTATTCGCTTTCCAGTCATGCGACACGGATGATCCGCCTGGCCTGCAGGAGAAGACCGAGTTCCTGCTCAAGGATTGGGTCGCGCTCTACACACAGCAGAATCAGCTAACGACACGCGATGCCCGCAATTTTGGCGCCTTTGTCCAGAAGATGAACACATACGGCATACTGAAGACGGACGATTTGATAACGCGCTTTTTCCGTCAGGCCACGCAAATCTGCACAGATGTCGTCTATCGCATGTTCGCCGACCCGAGCCTGCCCATTAACCAGGCCAAAAACAAGATATTCCAATGGATCGATGCGTTTGTCCATCTGATTGCCATGCTGGTGCGTCATTCGGGCGAGGCGGGCAATCCGACGACCAAGATCAATCTGCTCAACAAAGTTCTGGGCATTGTGCTGGGCACACTGCTCAAGGATCATGAGTTGCGCGGCGTTGGATTCCAGCAGGTCGGCTACCATCGCTTCTTTATGATGCTCTTCATGGAGCTGTGCTCCGCCGACAGTACATTGGAGTCGTTGATGCACAGCATCGTGTCGGCCTTTGCCTACACATATCATCTGCTCAATCCGAGCGTTGCGCCCGGTTTCTGTTTTGCCTGGCTGGAGCTAATCTCTCATCGCGTCTTCCTTGGCCGCATTCTGGTCCAGATACCCGGCCAGAAAGGCTGGCCCCTATACGCCCAGCTGCTGCAGGATCTCTTTAAATATCTCGCTCCATTCTTGCGCAACACCGAACTGGGCAAGCCCGTCGGCCTCCTATACAAGGGCACACTGCGCGTCCTGCTCGTGCTCCTGCACGATTTCCCCGAGTTTCTGTGCGATTATCATTTCGGCTTCTGCGACACAATACCGCCGAATTGTGTTCAGATGCGCAACATTATATTGTCGGCGTTTCCGCGTAATATGCGGCTGCCCGATCCGTTTACGCCCAATCTGAAGGTGGACATGCTATCGGACAGCAGCAATGCGCCCAAGGTGTGCAGCAGCTATATCATGAACATACAGCCGCCCAACTTTAAGAAGGATCTCGACTCGTATTTGAAGGCGCGCGCGCCCGTCACATTCCTGTCGGAGCTGCGCGGCCATCTGCAGGTGACCACAGAGCCGGGCACACGCTACAACATGACGCTCATGAATGCTCTGGTCATGTATGTGGGCACCCAGGCCATTGCATTGATCAGGTGAGATCAGCTCGAGTACAATTCCCATTCCATTTGGTTTGACTTTCTCTCTCGCTCTCCCTACAGAAACAAGAACTTTGTGCCCAACACGTCGAACATTGCGCACAGCGCCCACATGGACATCTTCCAAAACTTGGCTGTGGATCTCGATACCGAGGGACGTTATCTATTCCTCAATGCCATTGCCAATCAGCTGCGCTATCCGAACAGTCACACGCACTATTTCAGCTGTGCGGTGCTGCATCTGTTCGCCGAGGCCAATTCGGAGGCCATACAGGAGCAGATTACACGCGTCCTGCTCGAGCGCTTGATTGTTAATCGTCCGCATCCGTGGGGCCTGCTGATCACATTCATTGAGCTGATCAAGAATCCCATTTACAAGTTCTGGGAACATGATTTCGTGCACTGTGCACCCGAGATAACCAAGTAAGTGCGCCCAGATAATCAATCATTAAATGTGTATATGTATGTATAGATATATATATATATATGTATATATATACATCAAGGCTGCAAACCGGGTTCGAATCGAACCGAACCGGTTCGAATCGAACCGAACCGGTTCGAATCGAACCGAACCGGTTCGAGCGCGTAATTCCCATTTAATGATTACTAAAAAGCAGCCGCATCTTAAACCGAAGCACAGCTCAGACCCAGTATAAATACCTTTGACCCCTTAACATAGCTCATATTTAACCACGTTCGGTAGATGCCACCTTTGATTTGATCCTCATCAAATTAAGAGATCTCGGATTAGAGACTATATCAATGAGATGATATCAGACTATATCAATGATTTTTATCTTTGAGAATCCTGTCTGTTAGATTCTGTGGATGGCGCCATTAAGGTCTTCTGTTTCTTCCCAGAAATGGGGCACCCAATTCTTGTTCGTCCAGGCGTACCAAGATATGCGGGTTGGGCTGGGTGGTAAGTCTCCCAAAGTATCGTTTGGCATGTTGACAGATTACGTCTCCTGCCTTGGAAACTCTTAGGTCTCTCTCGATGTCCCTACTATGCATATACCCAAAAGCATTACATATGCTACTTAGAATCTTGCTATTGTTGAGGCGGAATCTTGCGGTCCATATACCCGGAAAGAAAGGCTGTCTTTATATATATATATATATATATATATATATATTGATGCTGATGTTGCGAAGCTAACCAGGTGTTCTGTGGCAGTGCCTATTAGGAGACTAGGATCGACCTGATCAGCACAGCCTTGTCATCTGCACGCGTGGACCTATAAGAACATCCTTCCTATCCACTGCTGTGTAAATTGTGTAGAGAGTGTGACCAAGGATCCATAACCTTGTGGGATTCATTTGGGTTTGCAGCCCTTATGCATATACATATATACGTTATATATATATATATTTGTATATACATATATATCACGTAAACCCATGCACTTGTTGCACTTCTTATATAGTTCCATATATCGTTCAGTCGTAGTATGTAGCGCACGCACACACACCTGCACGCACAGTCGCTTAAACACCTGAATGCGTGGTTATTTATGATTTTATCGTTCGTTTTGCTTTCAGATATTTTGGTGAATGTCTGATTGTATTTAATCGATTTGAGCCTTTGAACAGCATTCAGTGTGCAGCCTAATAATAGAGCAAGAGTTAAATAAGTTTTTCAATGATTATCGAACTGTGTAATGTGTATATATTTTGCATTTGCCACGCCCCCCTAACACACTACCCCCCACACACACACCCGCGCCCAACATGTATCCTATGTAAAACCATTCGTCAACAATTTTATTTATGATATTAATTTGTAATCGAAAATATATATTATTAATACATATATATATATATATATGTTTATATATATACATGTAAATAGACAAAAATATATATAGAGAATAAGTTTTATTGAGAGTTGAGCAACTTGTTGATTGATTTCTCGTTTCAAAACGTTCTCGCACGTATTTTGCAGGCTATTCGAATCGGTCGCCCGCTCCTGCCTGGCCAAGTCGAATGTTACCCAGCAGCTGAACATGGCCGTCGATGGAGCCGATAGCCAGGAGGTGGTCAACATTAACTGAGTAAACGCAACGATCCGACGCTTCAGCCTGGACATCATTTTTGTGCCCCAATGAAACGTAGACAGCAGCAGCAGTAAGAGCAAGGAACCAGCAGCAGTAGGAGGAAGAGATGGGAGCAGCAGCAGCAGCAGCAGTAAGAGGAAGGAGCAGCAGCAGCAGCAGCCGTAGCCGTAGCCACCGCGGCCACCATAAAATCAATTATATATATATATATACTAACGAGATGTGTTTAGTTTTTAGTAAATCGTTTTAAGCAAAATATGAAACAATGAAATTACAAAAACGCAGAGCAACAAAAACTAAAAAAGAAAAAAACTAAAAAAAAAAAACTAAAAAGAAAACAAAAAGAAAATCGAAAAAAAAAAAATTATAAAAAACGAAAAAACAACAAAAAAAACAACAACAACAAACAAAACAAAAGCCAGTCGTCGCCCAGCCAGGCAACTGGCCCGAAACGAGGAAGAGGAAGAGAAAGAGGAGCTGTTACAATACGATATATATGATAAATTCGAGCTGTATTTAAGTAGTAATTATTGTGTTGAGATATATATATATATATGATAATCGAAATGAGCAACATTTTAAAATGCCCGCAAATGTTAAACAAAAATTTTTAATTCAGTTGTATTATAATTATAAATGAAAAATTCATGTATTTACCTGTGGTTTTATGCCCTGGGCTCAGGTTCACATGCCCCCCACCTCCCCCCTCCACCCTACACGCTCCCTACTGCTCCTGTTCCCCTGCCAGGAGAAAGTGAATCAAATGAAAAGTAAAAAAAATGAGAAAAAAAAAATTGCAAAATGTACTCGAAAATACACAAAAAACTAACAAATGCGATGTAAATATGTAGTTGTTGTTGCTATTGACAAAGAACAGCAACAATAATAAAATAATAAAATTAAAAACAAATATATATATATATATAAAAAAAAGACATAGCAGCAACAACGAGCACATATAAATCTATATCTATATATATAAAGATATATATATATATATATATATTCATGTAATTACTATTCATTTATTATTGTGTGTATTTATATATAAATAATGCAAGAGCAGCAGAGAAATATATATTGTAAAGCCAATTCAAGTCAAGTTAATTGAAGTTTAAACGAAGGTTTTTTTTTTTAGATAACGTTTAATTTTTTTCAAACTAAGCTTTTGTTTAATGCATAATTTTAAACTGTTTCACGAACTTCACTTAAATATGTTTTTATAAACAAATGCATATATATTTATATATATATATATATATATCAGAGACATACACATTGAAATCCATGCCTTGTTCAGATCAGAGACCGGAATATATGTTTTGCAGTTGAAATGATTTTAATTTTAGACTATTTTAAAGTTAATTAATTGTTTAAAAACAAGCGCTGCAACAACAACAACAAGAAGAGGAGCGCAACAACAAAGAACTTTAGTTTATATATAAACAAATATGCACATAAATTAATTGTATTTTGAATTGAAGACGGCAATTGTGTACAATAATAGGCAAACTAGGCCAAGGCGGGGCACACACACACACACACACTCATTTATAGACTAATTGAATTATGCAGTTGCAACAACAACAACAACAACATGAACAACTAATTTTAAACAAATTGCAGTTAAAAAAGGGCGTTAACAATTATTATTAAAACGATTTCCGATTCTTATGTACATGCGTTCAAACAACAGCAAAAATAATATATGTATATATATATATCTATATATATATAGACATGTATATATATATATATATAGATATATATATATATAATAATTCATTACAATCGATCTAAGTAACATTATGCATTAAGTGGAAAAATATAAAATATATGTATAAATGGCAAAATTTTAAATATGCCGCGTTTCTCTTTACAAAGTTGTTCTTGATTATAATTTTTATATATGTATATATTTTTTTGCACTAGGCCCATTGAGTAAAGCCCAAAAAGTTTAGATTTTACTTAATCTCTGATCTATATATATATATAGAAAGTCAGAGCTCAATTGAGTTGTTCGCAATTTCGAGTGCTCAACATTTATGGATCGGTCAATTTGACTCTAAAATATATATTTAGAGCTCACAGAGAAGACCGCATCCTATATAAAATCCTAATCCTAGGTATTTTGGATATATCCATGTGCCTGAGCTGGAGCAACAGTATCATGATGTGAACATCAGAATGAAAGTATTTAATGCTTGAGGATCTGGCGCACGTCCATAGGTTTCAGGGCTTGGATCAGGAGCACATACAAAATCTGCTCTGCGTAAACTATCCATGTGGCATTCCTACTACGCGGTGCGTTTGGACAGCAAGAGATCCGGATTGGCTTCTGCAAGTCTATACGAGTTGAACCAGCAACTGGCACAGAACTTTCTCAAATGTTTTCATTCCTCCAAAAGAAATTTTCCTTTACCGAATTCGAGGTTCGTATAGCTAAAAACTAACATTGGGTTTATTCAAATATCTCTTTAATTGTTAGGGTTTATTATTGCTTTTGTGTGGCATTCTACTAAATCTGAAGATCCTATCCTATTCCAAGCCACGCAATCATATCCAAGATGTCTTGACTTGGCTGCAGGTTCGTGGTGCTCTGGTGATATTTTATGTATGTATTTATTTATTTTAGATACAATTTGTTTGCTCTAAAATCTTAGAATTGATCGCTGCCGTCGACAGATTGACCAATAGAGCGCATATCACAAGACCCATACATATATATGCTGATAGGACATATCATACGTAATAAGTACACACTCTTTTTTTCTGTCGTCAAGTCCCTGAGACATCGTTTCTGTTCGGGTCCATAGCTCACTCACGCTCTCGGAGAGCAGAAGAGTGGGAGAGCCAAATGCGACAGAGCGAGATAGCTGTTGCTTGTTTGGCTACCACACGTCTACTCTCAGTGCTCTCCTTGATCGCTGAAATGTATGTGTGTGTGTGTATGCGTGTGCAAGTACCAGTCAGTGCTGCCCATCTAGCTAAATTTGGCTATTTTCTGAGCCCGCCAGCCGGAAACAGTTAAGCTGATTTAGCTATTTTCTGGCATTTCAATGACAAGTACTTTACTATTTAGTAAAGTATTTTGTAAAAAGAGCTTTTGCGTCAATTGTCTTTCTCCATATTCTTAGTGCTCAATGGGGTGTAGGCGTATACTTAAAAAAGCTCTGCTTATTAGAGCAAAGGGCGGCCCCTCGCGCGCTCTCTCTCTCTCTCTCTCTCTCTCTCTCTCTCTCTCTCTCTCTCTCTCTCTTTCTGGATACCTATACGTGCGTGTGTATGTGCACATATGTGTATGTCGTATATATGTAGCCCATTTCCGCACCCAGACTTACATAAGCCACAACGACGAGTGGGCGTGTGGGCAGGCGGACGATGGGTGGCAGCGCATTTAGGTTAAGTAAACACAACGAAATGTCGATAAACGGCAAACAGCAAAACTGAAAAACTCGACAAGAGACATAGAAAACAATCAAATGTATCTGTGTACGTATTTATTGTAAATATACATTTGACACGAATTCAGCATTAATTGAAATGCTGCAGTCATCGCTAACGCTGGCTGTTAATTCACATGAATTTTGACATAAGGCTGAAAGAAAAAAAAAAAAAAAACAACAACAAATACCAGTATGTATCTGTAGCTGTAATTGTGTGCGCGCTTGGCAACCAAGCAAAGGCGGTGACGGCGGCGGCGGTGACGGCGGCGGCAGCAACAACATAAAAAAATGTGGCACACTTAAATGCTGCGTCAACGTCGCAGTCGCTGCGCGAAAAATTCCCCTACTCTCGGCCTCATGTACTGGCCCCTAATACACAAACAAACACGCTCTGTACATAATGTGTCAGCGAAAGCTACAAAAAAGCGCGTCGAATTTGAATTTGCTTAGAAGTGCGCGCGCCACAAAGAGAGCGACGGCCAGAGAGAGCGAGCGAGCGAGCGAGCGAGAGCGCAAAAGTTTCGTTAAAAAGCTGCAAATGCGGCAACGCAAGCGACAGCTACACGCGCTATCACGTGCTTGTATTGGCTGTGCATGTGTGTCTGTATGTGTTGTATATACATTATGCATGTATGTATGTATGCATGTGTGGGCATGTAGTTTTGTGTAGCTCAGCAAAGCTTTTTGTGGCGCACGTTAAGCTCGCGCCCGCGCTCGCCCTTTCTCTCTATCTCTCGCACAGCCAACAGCGGCAGAGGCAGCGGCTGAGTCAGCACCATTAGTTTGAACACATTTTCTGTATGCTGCCAGCGGCAAGTCCAAGTCTTTTTGTTTTTTTTTTTTTCTATCGTTCCTTTTTGCTCATCTTGTTGTAGCTGTTGCCCCCTCTCCGGGTTCGATTTGTTGCCTTTTCAAATGTTTATGCAGCATTGCAACTGGCTGACATATACAAATGCAGGCATTGCCATTGCCCAGTCTCGCAGAGCTTACAACATTTGGTGGTCGGATCCCACGAAACCACACAAAAGCCACAACTGGATTTCTTTTATCTGACACGCTCTCTACCTGCGCGCGCGCGCGTGTGTGTGTGTGTGTGTGTGTGTGTACCCCCATCTCTCGCCACACTTTCGCGCTCTAGCTACACTCTGCGCTCAGGTCGCTGCTGACCCAGTTTCCTAGGCCTGCACTGGCCAGGCGGGTTCGGGTTTTGGGCTTGGGTTCGCTTTGGCTTTCACAACTTTCTTGTCGCTGCTTAGCTACACCCACCCTTGGCCCTACCCCCCTTCCCTGCACCCTTTCCCGCTCTACAATTGCAGGTCAGTTGGAGTTCGCTTTCCGCCGCCCCGCCCCGCCCCAAATATGTTCTAATGTCACATGCTCAGCGCTTGGGCCAACAAATTAAAACATAATCTTGTTAAATTGAAATGGCAACGGAAATTACCAAAATCGAAAATAAATTGCTTGCTTCAAATGTGAAACGTGTCCTTTTTGAAAGGATTATACGCGTATGCATGTGTATATGTGTATACCACACGCCATTTGAATAGGTACAGTGGGTAAGATATCATTATTGTATTGGCATTTATGGGTGTAACTTGCTGATCGAGTATCTTATCATTTTTGATTTTTACTTGCGTTGCTTCGTTCATAAAATATAATCATAATTAATTGAATTGATATATAAATAAATCGAAATGTTAAGTGCTTGCCGTAGCTAACGATAATTAAAAACGATCTAGATTACGAATATCGTTTGCTTGCGCTGTCTGCGTGTGCGTAGATGACGATATTCGCAAGAAGCAAAACAGCAAAAGCCAATATCGTAAGCAATTCGCAACGAATATCGTTTGTTTTGCATCACGT